CAAAAGCACACATTTCCTTAATTTGTGGAGGACAATTAGAAGAGTTAATACTGTAGATTACATAATCGACAGAATCTTTTTCATTTGATTGTTTGTTAATGAAAAAAAGCGCTTTCCATCTCATTCTTTTAATAAGCGTTTCGGTCTTTGCCCGTATTTGTACAATATATTCTTTCTCTGATGGTATTGAGATATTTTTAACTGAGTATTGAAAGTTTAATTTCTCCATCTTGTGGGCGAGTTCACAAAATTTTTATGATTATACAGGCTTGGACAGGAATGGCGTGCAATTGCACTCTGTAACTGACCACACTAATATATTTATTTCTTTACAACTTGACCACGGCTATTTTGATGTTTTAACAATTTGAATGCAATAAAAAAAGTGTAACGTTATAAATATCTTTTAATCATTGATCTTTTCTAAAGATGTTTATTTTACGAAAAGGCTTTAAATAAAACCATAAAATTAATTATAGTTATTGTTTACATAAATGCTTGTGTAAAATAATAAAAAATGTTACATATAAGTTTTTTTTATGTAGGCATGTATTTTTTATGATAAATTTAAACGTTTGAAACTATTTTTTCATGTCTTCCTAAAAGATTTTTAAACCATTATTTTTAGAAAGAATTTTTTTAATTTGTTTAATTTGTGAATAAGTTCAAAAGCTTCTGCAACTTTTACACATTTTATGTGAATTACTCAAGAATATAAAATAACTTTATTTACTTATAAGCATGTATTTTGTTGATTGATGAAAAAGTTTTAAAGCATTTTGTAATGTTCATATGATTAATTTTTTTTAAACTCACCATTAATTTGATTAAACTTACGATTTTTTAAAATGTTTTAAACATTTTTTTTTTGTTTGTTTGTTTCAACTTTTTTAGGAATGAATGAGTTTAAATCATTTATAATAATTTTTAAATTCGTTGCGCAAAGCTCTTATTAATAAAGTTGTAAAGCTCAAATTAAAATTGAATTAAAATGCTTGTTGGCAGTTCATTTTATTTAAATCGCAAGCGCATTTTATTTATTTATTTTTCTATTTTAACGAATAAAAAAGTTGAAATCTTTTTTTTAAATTAGACTTACTAATTAGAGCATGAATTTAGTAAAAATTACTATTTTAAAAAGACTACGTTATATTTTTAAACAATTTTTTTTTTTGCAACTTTTTTGTAAAAATAAATGTTTATACAATTTTAAAAAATTATATACAACACTTTTTAATTAATTTATTAAAATTTGTTCATTTATTAAACCAATCATTAGTAGTAATTTATTACTTAATTTAAAAACGTTTTGTGTAACTTTAATACCAATTAAAAAGATAACGTTTATTTCATACGTAATTAAAAACGTAACAAAAAGTTTTGCTTCAAGTTAAAGTTTTTATTTTCATTTTAGTGCTTATATAATTTCTTTTTTGTTATGAATTTTTATTTTCGTTTCTTTTTTCATTAGGAATTTTTTTTTCGTTAGTTTTTTTTTTTCCTAGTTTAAGTTTAGCTAAGCGTTTCTACATTCATAGCATTTCTGAAATTTTTAAATCATCAAAACATATAAACAATCGTGGTCAAGTTGTCAAAAAATAAAATCATTTGCGTGGTCAGCAATAGCGCTCGATCGCACGCCATTCCTGTCCAAGCCTGATTATATACAAATTTTAAAACAGCAGTTTATAATTAAAAACGAAAAAGAAAAAACTTTCATTATGGAACTTTAAGTTTCATGTCTAAGGGCAATCATCAGCTAATTTTATTTTTTGAACCTCATCGACCTTCACTTTCCAGTTAACCACAGACTTTGTAAAATATTTAATAGAAACACAATCAAAATAAGTTATTCTTGCATGCCAAACATTAAATCCATTATCAACTCTCAAAATAAAAGCATTTTACATAAGGAGGCAAAAATTAATGAAAAGAAATGCAACTGCATTGACAAATTCAAATGTAACAACCATTGCCTTTCCAACAACATTGTTTATCAGGCCACAATCTATTCAAACAATCCGGAATATAAAGAAAAGGTGTATTTTTGACTCACTGAATCATCTTTTAAATTTCGGTATGCAAACCACTTAAGATCTTTTAATGCAATTAGATATAAGAATGACATAGAGTTATTAAAAGTATGGAAATTAAAAGAAAAAATCTTTACACCTTTAGTCAGATGAAAGATTATTAGGCTATGCAAACCATAGCACCCAGCATCAAGAGTTTGCAACCTATGTTTGAACAAAAAGTTTCAAATTTTGATGCATAAAGGAGATAACCTACTTAATACAAGGAGTGAAATAATATCTAAGTGTAGGCACAAAAATAAGTTCCTTATTTCCTAATTTGATACCAAAGATTGATCCTGGTTGGTTTATGTCACGTTTTCGTTGCTATACTTTAAAAATTTTCAAAATTTTGTTTCCATGGAGTCATTAGAACTCACGCCACATTCTAATTGTAATTTTAACCTTTTTTATTTTTAATTTTGTAATAAACAGCTGATGGTTGCCGTTAGGGATGAAACTTTAAGTTCCATAATAAAAGTACATAATATACACACACACACACACACTAACAGATGCACACAGATATATATATATATATATATATATATATATATATATATATATATATATATTATATATATATAATATATATATATATATATATATATATATATATATATATATATATATATATATATATATATATATATATATATATATATTAAAGCGGTTCAAAAATTTAGTTTTTGAAAAATAGCTTATTGTAATTTTTCATAATATCAATCTACTAAAACAAAAATTTGAAGCGATTTGAAGTATTTTCAGAGGTTGCACAAGATTCTTAAACATTAGACAGGTCCCAATATTATCAATATAAAAAGTTTTTCAAAACTTTATTATGTTAGGTCTTATAAGAAGCAAAACTATGGAAAATTTCAAAAATAATCATCATTTTATAAATAACATTGACAAAAAAAAAATTAATATATTTTTTTGTATAAATGCATCTTTTCTTTTAGTTAAATATGTAATTTTTTAGGCAGTTAATTTTGAAATAATAATTTATTAATAAATTAATAACTATTTTTGAAATTTTTATATAATTTTGCGCCTTCTGAAACCCAACATGATATACTTTTGAATAACTTTTTATTTTGATAATATTAAGGACATGTCTGATGTTTAAGAATCTTGTACAATCTCTAAACATGCTTCAAATCACATCAGATTTTTATTAAATTTTTTAGTAGATGGATAAAAATGGGAGGTTCCAATGTGCACTTCTTAAAAATTTATCAAATATTTGCCAAATTTATCAAATATTTGCCAATTTTATCAAATATTTGCCTATTTAAACTGTAAATTAAACTTTTAGCTATTTTGTATTAAAGTTGTTAGTCTAAAGTACAAAATAAGCTAAAAGTTTTTAGTCTGGCTAAAAGAGGGCGAACTTATTACTGAAAATGCCACTTAACTTAGGTTAAACAAAAAAGAAGGTAAAAAAAATGTGTTAACTTTTAGGTCAGAGTTCTGCAAATCAGTAAAGCGGTTTGTATTAGAAACTTTCACAAGATGTTGAGAATTCTATACCAATTTAAAAAACATATAAAAATTTATCAGAGGTGACAGGTTAGGGTAAATAAACTGGTTTTTTTGGTACTATATATTTAACTTATGTTACATCACTTACGCTACCAAGCAATTATTATCTATTATTAAGAGTTTATTACATAACAAAAATATTGAATTAATTCATTAAAATAATGAATAAAGGAAATTTTATAAAACTGGTGGCACTCTTCCTGAGTGATTTTTCATAATTTTTATGAAAGTTATCAAATCAGTTTTTCCACAAGACCAAGAGCAACTTTAAAAAATTATTTTAGTTTTAAAGAAAAATTTACTTCTTACGTTTATGTGTACTGCCTTATTTTCATTAGGTTAAATTTTTAAAATGCTGCAAAGTATTTACATTTAAACTTTTAAAATATTTTTGATGTAAAAACTGCTATCACAGTTTAGGAGGGAGAAGGGGTTCAGGTATATGTGATTGTTTGTTACTGGAGAGAATGGGTTAAGAATTGACAAATATAGGGTGACATGCCTTATGGATGACCCTTTTAATTGAATTTACAAACGATTTGTTTTATAAAAACTCAAATGAAAAAAGGTACAACTGATTTTTTTTTTATATTGGGAGAAAAGCAAATAATTTTCTTTTATTATTGTTTAAATAAAGATATTTATTATTCTAAATTTTATTTATTTATGCATATTTATGTCAACCAAAATAAGAATACACAAACAAATAAACAATACAAAACAATACAAATACAAAACAAATAGAAAAACAATATAAATAATTTTAATTAAGATTTTATTATAGTTATAGATTTAATTATAATTTAATTAAAATCCTCTTAACCAACATGACAAAATAAGTTTACTTAATGACGTGATTATTTTGTTAACAAAAAAGCGGTAAATGCATGTAGTTTTAAAATTTAAAATTAAAATGTGCTTTAGCTAAGCATCGTTATTTAAAACTTTTTATGCAAAAATGCAACATTTAATATTCTTTCGCATACATTTTTAAAAAACTTAAGTTTTTTAACTAAATTTTAGAAAATACAAAATTTATATATAAAATATATGTATAATATATATATATATATATATATATATATATATATATATATATATATATATATATATATATATATATATATATATATATATATATATATATATATATATATAAATATATATATAAAAAATATATATATTTTATATATATATTTTTTATATATATATACATACATACAAATATATGTATATATGTATGTATGTATGTATATATATATATATATATATATATATATATATATATATATATATATATATATATATATATATATATATATATATATATATATATATATACATAAACATATTTATATAATAAAAAAATAAAAAAGTAATTACCTGAACCCCTTGTATGCCACAATTTGAGCCTCAACTTCCTCTTGCAACTTTTCATCTACTTCAATGCCTTGCAATTGGCTAATTTCATTTAAACTCAAGATAATTCCATCATACAACCTATATAATGAGAAAATTTTATTAATTTTATAATATTAATATTATTTTATAAAATTTATAACTAACTTTATAACAACAATGAAAATAATGAAATTATTTAGGAATCTTAAGAATTTAATGAAAGAATCAGAAACTTCATAAGTTCATAAATCAACTCTTTGTGACATGATCATATGTGGCCATTTAGTGTGGATTGCTGATGCCACATAAGGCAAAATTCTATATTGTCTTGAGCATGCATACAACAGGGACACTATCAACTTGAGGCATATCACTATTATTTCTCTGATATATTACAGCTAATGAAGTAATTAACATTTTTATACTTGTCAAAATATAAATTATATATAATTACTAATATTTTTATAATTGTCAATATATCATAACTAAATTTATATAATTTAAAAACAAACTTTTTTATTATTCTTTTATAATACTTAAGGTATTACTATTTAAATTATATTCATTTAAACAATTCTGAATGTATATATTAAGTTTTTTAATAGTACAACAGAATTGCGAAGACTAAAAAAAAACTTTTGACATCATATGTTAAAGTATATTAACATTTGAATTGCTAACTTGAAAAAGGGGACATGTTCTGCAAAAATTTCATGTGTCATTTTCACGATTTTTCATGTTTTTTTTTTCACGATTCATGTCACAAGTTTTGATATATTTTAACTACTACCTGATATATTTTAACAATTATTATGTAAAACATGTTCTGCGTATTCTTGGTTATTATATAAACCATGTTCTGCGTGTTCTTGGTTATACAAAATAAGTGCAGCAGATTTGGCAAAGCTTTTTTTTTGAGCAATCGCTTTCAAACACATTTAAACCATGTTTGAATACGCATTGGTCCACCAATGATATTTATTATTTACAATATGATGATCGGAGGATTTCTTAATGATTAGAGAATGCTGTCAAAAGGCCTAAAATCCAGGAAAACATTTATGTTCAATTTGTTTATAATTCTTATTATTAATTTATTATATCAATAAGTATTTTCCTCATTAAAGTTATATATTTTTTAATATATAAAAACTATTAGTACATCAAAGCCTTAATTTTGTCATATTTGGTCGAAGCCGAAGCTTATGCCTAAATGACTCCACAGAAGCTTTTATAATGTTAAAACTTTTATCTTGTGCAGCTAACTATCTTATTACATTACTAATTGTTAACAAACAGTAGCTTTGCCTTGTGGCTATTTTTTTCTTTATGAAAAAATACAAAACTATATATATATATATATATATATATATATATATATATATATATATATATATATATATATATATATATATATATATATATATATATATAGCAGGAAGAAAGAGCTTTAGCTCATGTTTCCTGGGAAGTTTATGGGACTATTTACAGCTTTCCCAAAAGTATAATTTTTTTGTATAAAAATTATAATTTGAATAAACAAGACATTTTGAGTTTCAAATTGACTTAATTTGCTTACAAAATGCGATATTTTTTGTTTGCATAAATGTCTTTAATTTTTTTTTGTAGTACTTGAGATTGTATTTTAACCATACAAATGGCTAAAAACTTGTCATTTTTATAATACAAGTTATTTTATATTGCAACAATTGTTTTGTTTTTAATAGAGCAGAATTGTAGTATTATAAATGTAAATATATTTATTGCATAATTGTAATACAAAGTTTAATAGAATTAGTAAAAAAAAAGAAAATTTTCTTATCTTTTCAAACACAGATATACAGTGCAGAGAGTTTTTCACTTTTGTGTGAAATACTGATTAATATACCTATAACATTAATGACAATATGGTCAAGTTTTTCAAGTTGTAATTAAGATAAAAACGCAAAGTAATTTTGAATAAAACAAACCAATAACTCCATAATGAACTGCAATCCTTTTTTAAAGACACATCTGTTGCAAAAAAAAAAAAAAAAAAAAAAAAAAAAAAAAAAAAAAAGAGCACCAATTAAAATGAAATGTTTTTAACTAGATTGGACTAACTGATAAATAAAAAATTATTACACTCAAAATCATATTGATAAGCATATGTTTATAACAAGTATAAAATCAAATTTTGTATTTAAATAAGCAATTTAAAATAAAAATAAAAATAGATAGCTTGTGCAAAAACCAAAAGCTCTTGTAAAATGCTGTTTAGAGGAATATATCGTATGGCTTACCATAATCCCTTTAGAAGAGCTTCTCTCCGCTCTCACCCTTATTTACTCCTACATATATATATATATATATATATATATATATATATATATATATATATATATATATATATATATATATATATATATATATATATATATATATATATATATATGTATAGGCCTTGTAGAAAATATTTTTAGTAAAAATATTTTCTACAAGGCCTATACATATATATATATATATATATTTTTATATATATATTTTTATATATATATATTTTTATATATATATATATATATAAAAATATATATATATATTTTTTGCTGAAGTCAAAATATGTTAAATTAGTAGAGTTTTGCATATTGTTAAATAAAGAAGTTATTCCTAATAAAGTACATCACGCATAACTTAGTGTGACGTACTTTAATTTTAATTTATGTGACATATGTTCAAATTAAAAATCTCAGTGAAAAAGAGCCTATGATTTACTTCTTGCATAAAAATTGCATAAGAATTGCATAAAAATCCATGTAATAAAATAACAAAACCTGCAACACTTCAATAAAAATTTCAAACTTGAATGTTAGAAAAAATTAAATATCAACCGAAATATTTATAAATATCTTATAAATAAAGATCTAGCGTAAAAACTTCACTTAAAGCTTCAATTTCATACCGGTTCGATCACATTCTATTAATTAACGATTGTTATATTTAAAACTAAAAACATCAAATAAAATTCTAAACATTGAAATATTAAATATTTTTTTCAAATATAACTTAATAAACTAATTACTTTCACTGATATCTTTGAATCAGTAAAGCTTATATCCAAGTCTATTAAAAAAGTTGAAGCTAAATGAAACTATAAATCAAAAAAAAAAGTTTTAATAAACAATACATATAACAAATATATCTGTTGTACATATTGTTTATTGAAACTTTTGGAAGCATGCTCACAAATAATAAAAGAAAAAATGTAAAGTCGCTAGTTTCACTAATGCATTTCTCAAATTATACTTCAGTATATAAGTTATTTATATATTATATTTCTAATATTTACACTAATACATACATTATACTAGTATAAGTTCATTATATATTTATTAAGTATATAAAAAAGTATATAAAAAATATTCACTTGATAATAATTAAATCATGCATTTAGTTTAAATTAGAAAGCAGTTTTCAGTTTGGTACAAAAATGAATGGAAAGTTATGGAGTCATTACTGCTAACAGATAGAATGGAATGTTTACTATTTAGAAACGTCCCAATGAGAATAGAAAATTTAAATTAGAATTTTGAAAAATCAAAAGTTTTAACCTGCAAGATTTTGTGAAAATTTCACACATCTTTTATAAATAAAAGAAATATTCCTATATATATATATTTTTTAAACTATTATTTACTTTAAATTAAAAACGTTTCTGTTTTTTCTAATGTCCACAATCAAGCATATTAATTCAACTCAAAAAGGAAACAAAATTATGTTGTCAATATTTAGTAAATCGCTCTTCTCAGTGACCTCCTCTCTATACCTACGTACGTAGTTTATGGATGGCCCAATGGCAACCAATTTCCAACTCTGAATTCAGACTCTCAAAGACTTAATGCAAAGCACACATAATCATTTGATAACGCATTTCAGTTTTACGAGCACGATATATTGCAACTTTATTCATCACATGCACTCTATATCTGGGCAATATATCTGGGCAACTTTATTCATCACATGCACTCTATATCTGGGCAATATATCTGGGCAACTTTATTCATCACATGCACTATATATATATATATATATATATATATATATATATATATATATATATATATATATATATATATATATATATATATATATATATATATATATATATATATATATATATATATATATATATATATATATATATATATATATATATATATATATATATATATATATATATATATATATATAGAGTGCATGTGATGAATAAAGTTGCCCAGATATATTGCCCAGATATATATATATATATATATATATATATATATATATATATATATATATATATATATATATATATAAATATATATATATATATATATATATATATATATATATATATATATATATATATATATATATATATATATATATATATATATATATATATATATATATATATACAGTAGCGTCCAAAAGTTTGCGGACAGGCAAAAAATAAAGAATTTTAATTATATTTTAGCACACACTTTACTAAAGCCAACATATTATATACCAATTAAAAGGTTTTCAAATTTACAATTAGGTTTTGAACAAATAATTATTATCTAAATAATGTTTTTAAATTGGTATACAAATCAACGGTCTTTGATAAGTTCAAAAATTTGCGGACAAAGCATTATTTTTTAAAATAGTTAAAATATTTCAACAATATTTGATCAAAATTTTTGCAAAAGCAAAATCACATTAGTATTTTGTAGGATATCCTTTACAATCAAGAATAGCTTGGCATCTATGAGGCATAGAGTCAACTAAATTAATGCAAACGTCAATGGGAATTAAGTCCCATAATTCTTTGATTTTATTAAATAAATCAGCATAATTTGTAGGCTTAATTCCTTTCATTTGACGGTCAACATGTTCCCATAGATATTCAATGGGATTTAAGTCAGGTGACTGGGATGGCCAACTCAAAACATTAACTTTACTCTCTTTAAAAAACTCTAAAACCGATTTAGCTGTATGTTTGGGATCGTTATCCTGTTGGTAAATCCATCCTTGAGGCATTTTATCCTTTGCATATGGTAACATAATAGTCTTACATATATCTTTGTACTTTTCTTGATTCATATTCTTGGTAATTCTATGGAGAGGACCAACTCCATTTCGGCTAAAACATCCCCAAACCATTACATTACCTCCTCCATGTTTTACGGTAGGCAGTTGGTATTTAGGATTGTACCTAGTACCTACTGGACGTCGAACATACCTGATTCCATCGGATCCAAACAGCATAAATTTGCTTTCGTCACTAAAAAGAATTTTTGACCATTTTTGACTACTCCACTTTAGATGTTTTGATGCAGATTCCATTCGGGCGTTACGGTTTTTCAAGGAAACTAATGGTTTTTTAGCTGGGCGTCTTCCAAACAATATAGCGTGACGTAAACGACGTTTTATAGTAGAAATACTACAATTCATTCCATAGAAACGTCTCATTTGTACGTTTAAATGGACAGCTGTCAAACGAGGATTTTCTTTGCTTAGTATTACAAGCTTTTTATCCTGATAACGCGTTGTTTTGCGTGGCCTTCCTGATTGATTTTTATTCTTTGTAGATCTAGTAAGCTCAAATCTCTTCATAATTTGTCCAACAGCAGACTTACCAACTCCATAAAGCTGTGCTGTTTTACGAAACGAGTTTCCATTCTGAACTGATCTCAAGATCAATTTTTTTACTGGAGATGAAATACATTTCTTAGATCCCATGATCTCAATCACTTATATATAAAGTTTTGAATTTATTTCCACAAAACATTTGTTTATAAAATCAACAAATTAGCTATTTTGTGGTGAAAATGTTAAAAGCGTTAGTTTGTCCGCAAACTTTTGAACTTATCAAAAATCGCCATTTTGTTAACCAATTTTAAAATGATAATTAAATATTCATTATTTGCTCAAAACATAATTGTTAACCTGGAAACCTTTTAATTGGTATATAATATGTTGGCTTTAGTGAAATATGTGCTGAAATTTAAGTAAGATTCCTTACTTTTTTGCCTGTCCGCAAACTTTTGGACGCTACTGTATATATATATATATCATATTTTAATGTAATAAGTGTGTTTGACACAGTACTCTTGGCAGCCATTACAACCAAGGTAATAGCGAGAAACAGTTGCAGCACTTTTTTTATAAGCATAGTCAACAAAAAAGTATGCAAATATCTAACTTACATAAACTTCAAATTATGAATTGTTAAAACATACTAAAACATATATCAAGTTTTATAATTTTAGTTTCAAATTGCATTGCGGCAATATCTCCTCAAAGAGACCACCAAGTCCTGAGACATGTTGCGTTCATAAAATGAACGCAACATGTCTTGAATGTTCTTAAAACATCTTGCAGAAGAATAAAAAGAATATTCACGAACACTAAAAACTATTACTTAAATATTATGGCTTATTCTCGGAGCCACATCAGCAAAGCCATAAATCTTATCAAAAATAATTGTTTTCTAATATATATTTTTTAAATTGTCAAAATTTTGAAAGTTAATTACAAATTTTATATTTTATTAGAAGATTTTAGAAAATAAAATAACTATAGTTAGCTATTTTAGTAAAATTTAATAGTAAAATTTTAAAAGAATTTCTAGAATGGAGGAGACAAGCTTCGACTATAACAACAAGATTTGTTTTTCTCGGTATACATTTATTAATTAGTTAAAATCAAAAAAAATTTGCTCAGACATTTTTTTTTAACAACACGCCTCCATAGCAGAGTGTTTAGCATACCAGTTTGCTAATGCGGAAGCCCTGGTTCAATTCCTACCACTGTTTTTTTTTCAATTATATTTAATTTGTTTTGAAACAAATAAAGTTGTTTTGTTTTGCATCTTAAATAACAAAAATTAAAAAAAAAAAAAGCAACCTAATGATTTGAACTTGCCATGCGGTGACGTTAACTTTTTAAAATCACTAAGGGGGTTTTATAAATATGTTTTTGTTAAGAACATAATTGAAAATTCTAATTTTATATTTAAAATAAACTATTTTACAAAATTGATAATTTTTAAATATTATAAAAAGTTAAAAATAATAATTTCCCAATATTAAAGTAATAAGGAAAATTAAAGTACAAATTTATAATTTTTATTTGAAAATTTGATTTTTATTTACAGCATTTACCAGGTTTTTTTATCCATTTAAAACAAACCTGACATCCTTTTAAAATAACCATGACATTTCATTTTATCATCATCATGAATTTCTATTAAAACATTTAACGCATGCGCAATCTCAACATTCTTTATTATTTAGTCGTTAACTCAAAACACAGATTTTTATATTTTGCTCTTTTTTAAAATCTATTTAAACAAAACAAAATTATTAAAGTGGTCACTGTGGAAATAGACTTACCATGACCTGTATATGATATAACATATTTTCTAATGTTTTTGAAACTTTTTATACCAATGGCAATTAACTAACACATTTCAAATTTCTAAATATTTAGACAGGTACTAATAGCCAATCCGTTAATAAATAACAATTCACACAATGGCTACCAAACATTTAAAGTTTGTAAAAACTAATTATAACAGAAATTTTTTTTTTTTTCAAATTTTAAAAAAAGAAAGAATAAGCAAAGTTTTTCTATATGTAAACAGTTATTTTCTACCACTAAAAACTATTGAAGTAAGGAATAACTATAGAAAAGGTTAGCAAGGAATAGATTTATTTTACCCATATTTTACAGGTTCGTACCCGTACAGACCTGTATTTTACATGTTCGGACAGCTAGTATATATATATACACACAAAAAAATTTAAGCGCAAAAGCGCTGACTAAACAGAGAAAACTGTATATATATATATATATATATATATATATATATATATATATATATATATATATATATATATATATATATATATATATATATATATATATATATATATATACACACATATATATATATGATGTGCCCCTGTTACATTTTTACTGTCAGTCACTCAGTCAGAATCCGTTTAATCCGTTTTAATCTGTTTTAATCTTTTAAAGAACTCCAACGTCAATCATAATTAAAAAAATTAATGAAGCGTTTAAAATGCTATAAGTAAAATGTTTTTTTATATTTTATCAAATGGATAAAAACAAACCATTACAACAATTTGAAAAATAAACACCTGTAGTTGTTATGAGACCGTATAAACCAAATCAACCTGAAAAACCTCCTCAAATTTGTGGAAGTAGTAGAAGTATATAATGAATAAAATTTGTGATTTTTTTAATTCTATTGGAAGGTTTTTAAAGTTGTTCATTTTGATTTTATTAAAACGGATTAAACGGATTCTGACTGACTGACTGACAGTAAAAATGTAACAGGGGATCATCATCATCATCATCATCATCATCATCATCATCATCATCATCATCATCATATATATATATATATATATATATATATTATATATATATATATATATATATATATATATATATATATATATATATATATATATATATATTGTTATTCACCTCCTAACTAAAGTGAAACTTTTATTTATAACTTAATTGTACTAACAAACTCTTTTAACTTAAAAACGTAAACCTCGATGATTAAGACCACTGTGTCGAACAAGCTATTACCATAGACATAGTGGGATTAAACGGATTCTGACTGACTGACTGACAGTAAAAATGTAACAGGGGATCATCATCATCATCATCATCATCATCATCATCATCATCATCATCATCATCATCATCATCATCATCATCATCATATATATATATATATATATATATATTATATATATATATATATATATATATATATATATATATATATATATATATATATATATATATATATATATATATTGTTATTCACCTCCTAACTAAAGTGAAACTTTTATTTATAACTTAATTGTACTAACAAACTCTTTTAACTTAAAAACGTAAACCTCGATGATTAAGACCACTGTGTCGAACAAGCTATTACCATAGACATAGTGGGGATCAAACAAGGAAATAATTGCTTACAAACTGAGTGTTTTACCACTGCACCACTACCACATCAATTTAGCTATACAAAGGAAATTATAAAGGAAGCTGTTGCATATATATATTTATGTAGGTAGTTAGTAGTTTTAGTTTGTTTCTAACAAAGCAAATTTTTAAGCTAAGTATTTTGTTCTTTATATACTTTTTTTTTTCATTCATCTTTTTGTTCCCTATCATAACCTAAAATGATGATAAAGATAACAAGGATGCATCCCCGACGAGTAATGCTAACTATTTTTTATCGGGCTGTCCAAAACATCATTGGTGAATATATTGTGGCCCTGAGGATAGAGTTTCACCCTGAGGATGGAGACCGACATTAGTAGAACTACTTAACTTAATTTATACAACGCTGTGATTTTTATTATCTACTTACCATTTCTGAGTCCTGAATATTTTATTTTATTTTAGTCTTAGTTCCCTTTTTTTTCACGCCTAAATGCTGCTAATTTAATGAACAATTCAAGAAAAGAAGAAAAGAACTTGAATGAAAGAGAACTTTTTTAATGATTGTTAACAAAATAAACATCAATGCAATATGTTAACAAAAACTAATAAGTGCAATGGTAGCCATGCTGAATTTTACCTGATTAAATCCTCTGGTTTTGTAATTTTAGTTTTTATTTCTTGCTTTGGTGTACCAATCAAAACAGGCAACTTTTCCTTCATCCAATCAATCATACAGATATTTCTTTCAATCATAAGGTTTTGACGTAAATATGATAAATACATTTTGATGAATTGAAGTTGACTTAGATTTGTCTCATTCTTTTTCTTTGTTGACTAAAAAAAGTTTATAAAATAACACAAGATTTTTGTTATTTTGATTGATTTGGCTGCAAGAGAAACAATTTATTTAAAGAAAACTCAAAAAAGAACTATTGATTTTATAACAGAATGCAGCAAAGAAAATAGATTTAACCAGGTGGTTTTCAGTTACTGATAGTACTTTTATGAGTTGAATGAGATTTGGCTCAAATTCCTTGGACTCAAAGCCCATTTAAAGTCTTACAATAGAGCTTTTTAAATTATTATAATAAAAGATAGACAGAATATAGTTACCATTTCGTTGCCAATCTCTTCTTTGATAGCTTGCAATGCATCTTTGCATTCCATTAACAAATTGTCAAATAGTTCCATTTTCCCTTCAAAAGTACTTTGCCTTGACATTTCGCTTTCTTTCTCTTGTAAGTGCAAAATAAAAACACGAGCTTTTTCATTATGTAATGGAACGCTTTTGCCTCGCCAAGTGATATCACCAAACGATGATGCTAACTTCTCGCGTGTTTGCTTGATTGCAGCCTATTCAAAGTATTCAAGGGTAAAATTAATTTATTTTAAAACTGTATAAAAATAGTAGCATAAAACTGTTATACAAAAAAAGAATATTAAAAAAATATCAAAGTACAAAACATTAATATTGATTTTAGACTGTCAATGGTGGATAAAGCTAACAATAACTAATTGAAAAAAGATGATTTCACCAAAGAAAAAACCATAAATAAACAAAATATTCATTGAAACAACAAACTGTATAATAAAAATACAATAGGAAACAATTTTTTTTCTAATTAAACGCAAACCATAGGAGGCTATTAAAGTCAAGCAGACTCTCTCACGATAATGTAAAACTACTACTAACAAACATAGCTCTAAACAAAAAACTTGAAAAACAAGACCACTGTGTATAGATTCAGAGAATTAAGTTGAACATGGTACTACTAGGACTTGACTACTGAAACATTTTGCCAACCCCAGCCCTGGCAAAATTATAAGATTTAGCAGGAGTTAATAGCCAGGGCTAGATAAAAATTTATAATAATTTATATATTATAATTTTATACTTACATTTAATACTAGCATATATTTATATATTTTTTAACTCAAATTTACTTTAACAAGATTGCAAGCAACCACTATTAAGTAATAAATTAATAAAAAAATACTTTTAAATAGAGGGTAAGTTTAAAAGCTAGGAAACAGTTAACTGAAGACTTAAAATGGTGTTTGTATAGAAAAGGAAAACATGAAGATGGGTAAGAGTTATAAGGTTTTTTCGATGCTAAAAAAAAAACTGGATAAGTAAAATTTTTTACAGCATGAAGTGACAGATAAAGTAAAAATATGCAACTTGAAATGAACTGAAGCTAAGCAAGAATGAGTTTTTTAGATGAGAGATTTAGATGAAAGCTTTAATAAGTTCTAAGTTGGTGATCTAAAAATATAAAAATTGGGTGTGGTAATTTTTTTTGCTCAAAGAGCAAAATATAAATGAATTAAGGTAGAGAGGCTTTCTTAAAAGAGTTTTAAAAGGTATTTTTTGTGAGCACATGTTATTAAAATTATAGTTGATGAGATAACAAGTCAAACAAAAAATAAGTTTACAACATTATGTTTACTAAAATTAAGGTTGATGAAAAATTAACAAATAGACAAAGAACAAATTTACAAAATCTACATACATGTTCTTGAAAATGCAGATGGAAAAATAACAAGATTGTTTAGAAATTTCATCAGCTTTTAAAAAACTGCTGAAAGATCTGTAAAAACAAAAAAAATCACAATAGAGATGATAGCTTGTTTGAGTATTACCCATGATTGGAAAAACAGCATAAAAGAGGAAGGCTAAAGCCTGACGATGATGATGATGATAATGATGATGATGATGATGATGATGATGATGATGATGATGATGATGATGATGATGATGATGATGATGATGATGATGATGATGATGATGATGGTAATGGTGATTATGATGATCATGTTGATCATAATTATGTTTATATATGCATATATATACAAAAGATAAAATGAATTTTGAATTAAAAAAATATACTTTAGGATGTATAAATGTTTATGCAGCCCTGGTCACAGCCCCAACCCAGGCTATATTTTATCAAACCCGGCCATGGTGTGTAGAAAGATTTAAAAGTCAACAAGGTATGTAGCAAGATTCAAAAGATTAAAGACATTGTTAAAGATTAGAATGATGCATTCCTGATGAGTGATGGCAGTCTTTTTTATCAGACTCTCTGAAATATCATGGGTGAACCTATTATGATCTTGAAATTACATCACTTGACATACATCACTCCATTACATAGTTCTAATTATCTTTGCACTGATATACTTTTTATTATCTACCTAGCCATTATCCTTTGTATGAGTTTATAAATATATATAAACATACACACATGCAATGCAACTCATTATGGGATTCAAAAAATGATAAAATAATTTTGTGATGTCATTTAAACTCATTTTAAATCAATATTTTTATTATCAAATTTATTAAAATCATCAAATAATTTTTGATGATTTTAATAAACAACAAATCAAAAATAATAAAATATTTGTATGAAATAATTATATCTGGAATTTTATATAATGTCAAACATAGTTTATCTTTTATCAAATATAGTTTATTTTTTATCAAACAGTTTATCTTTTTTTGATTAAATCTTGATAAATCTTTATCTAGATCTAATCAAAAGAAAAATTATACAAAAATTAATGTTGAAAACTTATTTTTTGTTTGACTTGCTATTATTATTTGCATATTAATTAATAAACTAACGCAAATTTATTAGCTTTCAATATGAAATTTGGCAAAACATTCAAAATAATATTTGTTTGGTACGTAAGAAGTTTAAAGATGCATTATAGATCAATTTATCCAGGGTGGTTCAGATTTAGGTTAAAAACTTTTAAGACCTAAGTGGATGCTTATAAGATGCACATATTCTTGTTTTTTATATAAGATTATATATATTTTTATATATAAGTTTATATATATGTTTTATATATAAGAAAAGGTAAACACAGCCTTAAAGTATCTCTATTTTACCCTATTTTGATCTCATGTACGCCACACTTAAACATTAGTGAATTTATTTTAAATATATGCTCTCACAATAACTAATACAAAAAAAAAAATTTTTTTCTTTTTCTCAACACTAAAAACTTCAAAAAAATGTCAAAAAGTAGACAAAAAAATCTCTGTTATTTTTTAATTATAAAACCTAGCCAATTGAATTGAATTGTAATACGATATTAAATTGAATTGAATTTTAATATTGAATTGAATGGAATTGTAATAAGATATTAAAATCTATTATTATTTTTAATATTAAATTTAGAGATATCGTGAATCTCATGGAAGTTAGATAAATTTAAAGATAAATTTTAAGGCATATGTTTACAAAGGTAAAGTTCTCTTTCATTGATAACAATCAAAGAAAAGTTCAGCTAATTTTTTAATTTACTAGCTTTTTTAATTTACTAGCTTAAAATTAAAGGACAAATTAAAGCAGTGTTCTGGTTGACAGAAAGTCTTTCTCCTATGACAATTAATGTAAAACATTTTTGAAAATTTTTAGGGAGTAGCTTTAAGTAGTCTTTATACTTCCTTATTATGTACTTTTTCTTGAGAGTCATCATTTAGTTTACTTGTAAATAAAGTCATTGCATTTTGAGTTTAAACAAAATTTAGTTATATAATAATTTTTATTTAAACTCAAAATTAAATATACTAAATTTAACTTTTTCTTCTGAGGATTCCCTCTCAGATTTTTTTTGTTTTTACAGATCTTTCAGCAGTTTTTTAAAAGCTGATGAAATTTCTAAACAATCTTGTTATTTTTCCATCTGCATTTTCAAGAACATGTATGTAGATTTTGTAAATTTGTTCTTTGTCTATTTGTTAATTTTTCATCAACCTTAATTTTAGTAAACATAATGTTGTAAACTTATTTTTTGTTTGACTTGTTATCTCATCAACTTTAATTTTAATAACATGTGCTAACAAAAAATACCTTTTAAAACTCTTTTAAGAAAACCTCTCTACCTTAATTTATATTTTGCTCTTTGAGCAAAAAAAATTACCACACCCAATTTTTATATTTTTAGATTACCAACTTAGAACTTATTAAAGCTCTTATCCTCTTTATTTACTTTGAAAGTGCCCAAGCTTTTTATACAGTTAGTGCCCAAGCTTTTTATGCGGTTAGTTTCTAATACTATTATAATTATTTTGAAAAATACAGTTAGTGCCCAATTTTTTTATACAATTTGTGTTTAATTTTTTTATATATTAGTTTTATAGTACTTTTTTAAAACTACTTTGGGGTTTTGTACCACACATTTTTTAAATAAAAAACAACGATTTTATGGTTGTTAGGTCTGCCTACCTTATAACCTTAAAAGTTAAAAAAAAAAAAGTTGGCAAATGTATATCTAATAAAAAAACACTATATTTAAATTTTTTTGAATTAAAAATAATTAAGGGGTCCCCCAAGACCCTTGAACATTTAATGGGCCCCTAATAATTTCAAAAAAAAGTTTTTCAAAAAAATGTCAACCTGGTACTCAAATGAAACTATATAAAAATTTCAAAAATAATATATATTTTGAAAAAAATTGTTATTCATGGTTTTATTATGCATAAAAAATTGCATTTTTTAACAAAAATTGCATTTTTTAACAAAAATTGAAAAAAAAAATGCATTTTTTATGTTTTTTTATGATAATTTTGATAAATAAATTTTTTAAAATGAATCTTATTTTTGAAATTTTTATATGATTTTGCTTAATTTGAGTACCAGGTTGACATGATTTTGAAAAACTTTTTTTTTTGAAAATATTAGGGACCCATTAAATATTCAAGGGTCTTGGGGACCCCCTAAAATATTTTTCATTCAAAAAAAATTCAATTCAAACCTAGTGTTTTTATATAAGATAGAACACATTTAGGGGGTGGGAGCAGATTGTTTTCAAAAATGTTGTTTTTTAGGACACCCTAATATATATATATATATATATATATATATATATATATATATATATATATATATATATATATATATATATATATATATATATATATATATATATATATATATATATATATATATATATATATATATATATATATATATATATATATATATATATATATATATATATATATATATATATATATATATTAGCCTTAAAAATTAAATTAGAGAGTTTTAAATCAGAGTTTTCTTTCTCTTCAGTAAGTTGTCTTCACCCTCTCACCTGCCACAAATAAAAACTAAAAAAAAAAAATAAGAAACTAGATAAAATATCTAAAATTCAAATAAAAAAATTGTGTTAAATTATGTTTAATTAGTTATTAAAAAAATAATAAAAAATTATATTGACTACTTTTTTATGATTATTTTTAAATTATAAATTAAAAATTTTATTAATTATTTTTATTTTTTATTATTACAATTTATATGCATTTAAATAAAAATACAAAAATGTGATACAGGTAATTGGAGAATTACTTTTATGCAACATCAAGTTTAAAACAGTAAACAGTGTCTCTAAATATTGTATTCTTTTAAATTCGATTTAAATAGAGACAATGAAGAAGAATACACCATATAATCAGGTAAAGAGTTCCATATCTTAGTATCTCTTTCACTGAAAAAAAATCTCCTTATATCATTGATGTAGTTGTTACGTGATATTAATTTTTGGGAATGACATCTAGTTGAATAATGAGTAGGAGAGAGAGTAAAAAACTAACTAAGTCATTAAAAGATCAAATTTTACTCTCCGGCATTCAAGAGAGTCAAGATTGAAGATATCAAGTCTTGAAGCATAATCTTTATATGGAATACAACACTGTTTGCAGACAATTCTTGTATGTTTCTGGACCTTTTCTACCTGACGTATATCTTTTAAGTGATAGGGATTCCACACAGGGGTACATGACTCTAAAATTGGTCGAATATAAACTTTATAGGCTCTTATCAAAAGTTAGGAATCATTACTGATGAAAGACTATAAGAGTAAGTAAGCACAAGAACTTGCTTTGCTAGCAATGTAAGAACAGTGTTTAGAAAATTTCATATCGAAAGAAATAAATATCCCAATATCTTGGATTGAATCAATTGATGTGTGGATATCCAATAAGTATTATTTATTATAAGACTATTATTTAATTTATTTACATTTAAAAATATACAAAGAGACGATACCGTTAATATGGAAACTATTTTTATGTAACGCTTAGAGAAATGTGTTAATGCAGTATTCAGTGTTTCTGTATACTGCATAAACATGTCTCATCTAATAAACCATCAAACTCATTAACTTGGATGCTTTATTAGATATAAAGAAAGAGGATGGACTTTTAAGTATTGTACTTTTATATTTGATTTAAACATGAATAAACTATATAATCAGATGGAAAATTCCATATTTTAATATTTTTTGCAGTAGAAAAAACTCTGTATATCATAATTGTGTTTGTGGAATAACATGGAGTAAATTTTTTGTTGAATAGTGAAAAAACTCTGTATATCATTATTGTGTTTGTGGGATAACATAGAGTAAATTTTTTTTTGAAAGTTAGAGAACGTGATCACGGCCGTTTGCGCAAGTTTTATTATATGGGTTGCTGAAAAATTGTTTTAAATTTAATAACTACAAATGAAATTAAAGTAAACTTAAATAGAAAACAATAATAATAGTTTAAATAAGTTGTGAGTTGTTTTTATTTTATTTGTTTCTTAGTGGTTATTATTATCGGCAACAAAATTCAGTAAGTCAAAGCAAAAAAAAAAAAAAACGGTTTCAGGCATTAAAAAGGATGACTTTCCCATATTTTATGTGTTTTTTCTTTTAAAGAGGAAAGAGAAAATATGTATCGTCATCTGTTTGTAAAATATATTTGTATAACTATAATGTAACAAGTTTATATAAAGAGTTAAATTATACGATTGCGATTTGAAAACCCTGGTAAAATATAAGGTCTTTAAAATTTTAGTTTAAAAATTTAGTACAAAAAACAAAACAAAAACAATAAACTTACGACTACAAAAGTAATAACATTTTAGTCACTAACTGCATTATAAAAGTAATGAAACTATAATAGTGTTATTACATTTATAAAGCACTTATTACTTTTAAAGTTCATTCTTTGCTCAAACAACATTATTAATTCCAAACATTAATTAAAGTAGAAAAGCATCTAGAAAAAATAAAGCGAATATTCAAATATTAATAAAAATTTCAGGAACTTTCACAGATCACTTAAACAATGTTATAAAAAAGTACTTTATAAAAAGTATAGCATTATGAAAAACGTTATGTAAAAACGCGCGTTAATTTTAAAATCAATCATTATAAAATTTTTATTGGTTGATTTTAAACGCGTGTTTTTACAGTCCATTGGTAACGTTTTTCATAATGCTAAACTTTTAATATGATATGTTTTAATAAAGTTGTTTGTCACATTTTTATAAGTTATTTAAATTTTAATATTATTTGAACATCCACTTTATTCTTCTAGATATTTTTCTACTTCAATTAAAATTTGCGATTACTTATGTTGCTTGAACAAAGAATAAATTTTAAAAGTTATAAGTGCATTATAAAAGTAATAACACTATTATAGTGTTATTACTTTTGCAATGCAGTTAGTGACTAGAGTGTTATTACTTTTGTAATCGTAAGTTTATTGTTTTATTTTTTATTTTTTCGCTAACAAATTTAAGTTGATTCTCCCCTTAAAATCAAGGAACACAGTTTTGTATAAACTAAAATTTTGAGTGCTAGATATTTTTCCAGATTTTGCGTTTTGCAATCACTTAATTCAACCCTTGTTGTTAAATTAAAATTATACAAATAAATTTTACAAACACATTTCAATTTGTACTTTTGCTATCCTCCTAAAAAAAAAGTTAAGAAAAGGAAAATTATTCTTTTTATTTGTAGACTTCGAACTTTTTTTTTTTTTTTTTGCTTTGCCTTATCTACTTTTGTTGCTGAATGTAACAACTACTCTAAAGAAACAAAAATAAAAATAGTACACAAATAATTTAAACTATTAATGTGTTTTTATTTTTTTCTATTTTAATCCTTTTTTATTTTGTTACTTTTTTTTTTTTTTTGAAACTTTTTCAGCATTGATTATTATAAAACTTGCGAACGGCCATGTTCAAGTTGTCTAAAATAAGATACTCACGTGAGGTCATACAAGTCGAAAAACCGCACGCCTTACCTGGGAAAGCTTGCAGTAAAAGGTTAGTTGATAAGGTTCTGTATAATTTTATAGGTCATTAATAGGTCAAACTTTATTTTATAGCATTCAAGAGAGTCAAGTGTATAAAAAAATATTAATTTTATTAATACATAAATATTATACAAATACATACAATGCATGTATTTATATACATAATATAAAATCAAATATATACATAACATAGTTTATACATAATATAAAATTTTTATAAAATTAAAAAAAAAATCCATACATCAATTTTTGCAGATAATAAATCCTGTCCAGCAGCACTAGATTTCATAATCATCAGATCCTTGATATCCATTCCACCTTGTCCGAGATTATAAGCACAATATCGTATATTGGGTCCTATTTCCTCAACTCTTTGAGCATACAACATTCGAGTAGCTTCATCTAAAAACGCACTTGCAAGTTTTTCATATATTGAACGTGACTGTGAATAAAGATCAATAGCTGTTTTCCAGTCTTGAACTTCAAACTTATAGTTAGCTCTCATCCAGTAGCTGTAGGCCTAAATGAAAATTTCTATAATACTTTTTTTTACAATCATTGTAACTTTTTTCTTTATTTTGTTAAGATCTTAATAGGATTTTGATGAGTCAGCAACTAATACCTTGAAATAAAAAAAAAATTTAAATTTTAAAGTAATTTTTAATTTAAAATCTTAAAGTAATTTTCAATAAAATATTTAACAGAAAAAAATTGTTTAAAAAATAACTTTTATTTAAAACATTCTATTCTTGTACATGTTAAATTTTATATATTCTTTTTATATATTTTATATAAATTATATATACTATTTTATATAGGATATATTAAATATGAATACAATGTTAAATTTAAAAATAAATATAAAAATAAATATAATTTTTAATATAACAATATAAAAAACGTATATTTAAAAAAGTTTAAAAATATTATACACCAGAGTATATCCAAAAAAAGTCACAAAATCATTATTTATTCCTGGACTTTGTGTCTCAAAAAAAACTGAGACTTCTTTATTGACTGTTGGTTAAAAAGAGAGACTGATTTGATGACTGTTAGTTGCTGTTAATTGTGTTAGGTAAATGATTTTGAAATCTGCTACCTTTGTTAGCCTACAAAAAAATGTTTTTAACTCCATCTATAATAGTTTTTTAGAGGATACCAATACTAGGGTTCAGACTAATGTTATTGTAATTGTAAAAATTAAATACAATAACACTTTACAATACAATAGTATTGTATTGTAATACCAGAGATGTAATCAAAATATTTATTATTACTGTATTGCTGCAATTAATAACATATACAATAACTATTGTATTGTTTTTTTTTTCTAACAATACATTGATGTTCTAAAACTAATGTATTGTATTGCTGTGATGTAAAACAATTACAATAACTTTTGTATTGTATTGCTGAGATGAAAAAATATTACAATAACTATTAAAGTCAAAAGATTGTATTACTATTTTAAAGTCTAAAGCCTCAGGGAAACAAAAAACAAAGTTATATTAGAGTAAGTGTTAGTTGAGTAAGTTTCGAAACGATTAGATATTGGAATTGGATAGGTGCTTAATGTAAAAGCAAATAACTAAGTGGAAGAAATGGAAGTAATTGATCATCTCTATCCCCAGCAGTAAAAGATGTACAGGTCAGATCAAACTTGCTTTTATAGAGCTATATAAAGTTTGTAATGAGAATATTGTTAAAGTGATATTCAGTAAATCAATAATTATATATTAGTTGTACCTTATTTCAAGGTCACATGTCTCGGAGACTGGACTGTTAAAACATTTATTAAATTTTTACATTATAATACTTTTTTTTCTTTTCAGATATTGTTATTGTATTATGAAGATGAATTGCAATACAATATTTATTGTCATTGTATTACAGTATTAAAATAATTGTAAACCACAAGTATTGTTTTTGTTTCTAAAAAAGTTAATACAATAACAATAGTTATTGCTTCTGTTATTGTTTTCATTACAACTATAATAGTCCGAACCCTAACCGATACAATGAACGAACAACATTGAAAAGGCTGGTAAGTTTAAAATTGGATTTAAGTTGATCATTAGGATACTTTTCTCAGTTCAGCTTATTAAAAGTAATCTTTACTATATGGAGTGTAGTAGGATCAAGTATCTCCTTTTACTTGGAATAAGCTAAAATTCTTGCTGGGGAGATAACTTTATTACAAGCCTCTTCAGTGTCAAATTTAACTATAAGAGGAGCTGCTAAATTATTTTTTGATAAATGTGCAGATATTCAGCTTGTGTTAGATATATGATTATTTAAAATTTGTAATAAATAATATATATATACATACAGGGCTCCAAATAAACGCTGGACATTGGACATTGGACATTGTCCGGTAAAAAATAACATCTATCTGTTTGTCCAACCCATATTTTACATGCATTTATTTTCTAAATATTTTAGTTGTTCCAAAATTATTAATAAATTCAGTATAAACTTTACTTTTTAACTTTTATTTTTTATACAAATCAAAAATTTGAAGTTGAACACACGACTTAACTAATAAAATAAGTCATTTTTTGAGTTACTTCATTTTTATAAAAAACGCCAAAACATTACATTTTTTTGAATTAAGTAGCCAAATTTTTATCATTTATATTAAAACGTTACAATTAGTTATCAATTTAAATGTATAATTTAGTATTTATTTTATTTTTTGTTCAATGGTTTTTATAACTTTCAAATAAATTTCGCTTTTAAACCCCTTTTAAATTTATTTTATAAAACTTTTAATGTAATAGTTATTTTAATGTTTATAGAAACAAGTACTTTTATTACACTAGTTAATTTGTTTTCGCGCTAAAAAATTTCGCTTTTAAAAGTGTTTATAAAATTATTCCTAGAAAAAATTGAAAAAATACATATTTATATAAATGTAAAATACGTAATTATATAAATGTTATTACGTATAATATTCTTTGATAATTTAAATAGAATGACTTTATTGTAAACATTATTAATTGTTAATAAAGTAATAAGTAGCTTAATAATTTATGTATTTGTAATTTGAACAAAAATGTATTAATAATTTGAACGAATTGCATGGTCAAGTTGCATAAACTAAATATTTTATGCATGGTCAGGACATGTCCATCAAACTTGAGTATTTATTAGACAAATTGCCCAGAACAAAAAATACAAGGTGATACAAAGGTCTTAACACAAAACATTGAAACAAGGTCGGTAATTTTTTGCCGGCCTCAAATAATTGAGGTCGACAGTTAAGTCGGCATTGCCAAATTCTGACCCTAATTTCGAAGGTTGATATATATATATATATATATATATATATATATATATATATATATATATATATATATATATATATATATATATATATATATATATATATATATATATATATATATATATATATATATATATATATATATATATATATATATATATATATATATATATATATATGCCAGGGCTCGAATTAACGCAAAAAATACTAATCGCGAAAAAACAATTTTTTTACACACACACACACACCCCATTATACCTTGCACCGCTATGCGGTAAATTGGGAGAGAAGTTGCGTTAGTATATAATTGTAAGTAATTGTTCTATTTTTAACATACTATATCTCATATTTAAATATAATCTTATAATTTTCTTGTTTGGCAGAGTTTAAAATAACGCAAGTAACTGTAATTATTTACAACTTAAGTTATAACTTAAAGTTTAAGTTGCAGTTGTAATAAGTAATAATGTTTTTAATACTATTAAGATATTTCTTTAAGTATATTTTTACTTAACATGATACTTAAAAAAGTAAAAGTAAAAAAGTAAGAGAAAAAGCAACATTACAATATACATATACAAACATACATATACATTACAAAATATACATATACATTATAATATACATATACAAACTTCTTTAATTGGTCAAAGAAAACTATTTAATACGCTCCTGCTGACGTTAAAACACATGTTAATTTAAAAAAGTATGTAATTGTTAAGAGCTATAAAACAACATTAAAACAAACTGCAAAGTTGTTTTAAAAATATAAAGAGCTTGGAATAATGTAAAACAAATTCGTGACGCTGTTTCGTTTTGATTTATACAGTTTAAAACGCGTTTAAAATAAAAGGAAGCAAATAAATAAAATTGAGGTAGTTAATAAACTAAAACAAAACTTCATATTTGCACCTATAGACCTATACGAGAGACCTATATGGCTAACTTTTGCAAGTACATTAAATAAATTAATATAATTGTTAAATTAAAACTTGAGTAACTGTAAGTTACTATCTTAACTTAACTGGTTGTTTTGATTTAGGTTATAAGTTAATTTACTGTGATATACTCTATCCATTCAGTAAAGTTAACTAAATATAACTTCAATAGTTTCAAGGTCGTTAAAAGCGAAAAACGTGAAAGCAAAAAAGTTGCTGGTTTCTATTAGTATACTTTTACTAATAGAAATTTTATTTAATAAAAACGAATTTTTATATTTTATTATACTTAAAGTAGTAAAAATAATTATATAAAATTGTTTATAAAATAATAATTTAATTCATTATTAATAAGTTAATTTGGAGAAACGTTTTTTTTTAAAAAGATAAAAATGCTGTTTTGTTAAAAAAAATAGAATAAAGAAAAAAAAAATTTTAACTTTTTCTTTTTAATTTGCTACTACTACGCAGAGATTAAAAAGTGCTCTACGTTGAATAAAAATTGCGCGAAAGACCAAATGATCATGCTTCTATTCAAAAGACAAACTTTGCGTGACGTATTTTACTACGAAAACATTACTTTTTAAGAATTGCCAAAAAAAAAGCTAAATTAGAAAAAAAGTAAATAAACAACTAAAAAAGTAAACCAATCCCAAAAATATGTTTTAAGAAAAAACTAATCGCGAGCCCTGTATATATATATATATATATATATATATATATATATATATATATATATATATATATATATATATATATATATATGTATATACCAGTGAAGAACCCAGATGTGTTTTAGTACCGTTTTGCTGGTATGGGCCTCCAAAAAAAAGTGCTCAAAAATTATTTTTATTTTTAATTCTTCTTTTATATTTATATTTAAAAAATTTAGTTTTAAATACAGTAGTATATAAATAATTCTCAGTTTAATTTAGCTACCTCATTTTTTGTTCAGGAAAATAAAAAAAATTAAAAAGAAATTGCTTTTTTACATAACTATGTGACATAATTTGCCTTTGGTTATTTATTGGTTATTATATATATATATATATATATATATATATATATATATATATATATATATATATATATATATATATATATTTATATATTTATATATATATATAATTTAACACTCATAAGTTTAAATTTAACTTAAAATTTAAAATTAACTTGCACAAAAACAATATTGCAATTTACCTGTGCTTCTAATTTTGTTCTAGGCTCAACTTTTTCCATTTCACAAATTTTATGCAATTCCTCTGCATACTTAGCAGCTTTAGTCAACTTTCGCATCATGTGAAATCGCTTTCGTGGCTCTGTATTAGCACACAGTTTTAATTCCATAGCATAGCTCCAGCACCTTTCGGCTTCAACAAGAAGAATATGAAAATATCTACAATAAAAAGTGCAGATACTTGAAAAATTGAAAAACTTGTAAAAATTGTAATTTGGAAAAAATAAATATTAACAAAATCGATAATAATTCAAAACTGAAGAATCTTTTAGAAATTAAACTAAATGTAATTAATTATATAATTAATTTAATTGAAATATAATTATTAAAAATAACTTTAATACTATGACACTTCTAACACCATTAACCTTGAGTCTGTGATCACATCCTCTGTTATTTGTTTTCCTTTGTACCCATGTCTTGTACCAGATTTGAAATCCAACGAACTTCTAATTCTTTTTAACTTTCTTGAACAGTATTGCCTAGTGTAAAATAAATTCAAGATTTAAAAATATGATGAGGTTGAAAGGTCAATCTATGATCATGTTTGAAATTAAAGGTATAAAAATATTGATATGTTTGAAATATAAAAAATAGGTCAATTTTATTTTATGACAACTAAATAAAAAATTTCAAAAAAAATGTTTTGTAATTAAATAATTAAATGTTTGATAATTATAGTTAATCTTAATATTATTTATTAAAAATGTCATCAAGATAATTGCACCTGTATCTTTGATAGTCTCCATGTCGCATTCCATGACTTTGCTGGGCATCTTTAATAAACGGTAGAACTAAGAAGAAACTAGTTAAGCAAAAAACTTTGATTTCTATATTTCTCTTATTATTATTATTATTATTATTATTATTATTATTATTATTATTATTATTATTATTATTATTATTATATATGTGTGTGTTTTTATTATTTAATAATATTTTTAAAACATGGGAGGAGTATTGCTACATTGACTAACAAATAGGTAAAACATGAGAAGAGTATTGCTTTTTTTACTGTAAAACATGCGCAATTATAGCCTAATAATTACTGTTGCTCTCGATTTAGCTATAATAGAGCAAACTATCATGTATATAGATTATTTTACAATTTTTATTTACACAAACAAAACCTATGCATTTTATAGATATTTCTGGTAAATACATTATTGTCGTTTTGTTGTTGTTGTTATTGTTACAAGGTAAACATACAATACAAAATTTGAAGAAGTAATTTTAAGAGAAGATACTTTCGACTGCGTATTGTGCTGATACTTCTTCTTTATTTAAAACATCATCTTTTCGGATATCATCCACCTCCATATCCACCTCCATTTTATAAAGAGTAATTGATAAATCAGAACAAAAACTATATTTGCACAGCTGTAATGGAGTCAAAAAAAATCTACCATTTTGTACAAACACGTTAAATATTTTGCAGCCGAAATTTTTTAAATAAACCACGTGATAAGTGTCTATAGGGGCTAATAAATAGTGCCTTTCGTAGAGTTACAAAAAAAAGTGTTTTTTTCTTTTGGCGTTTTTTTGAGTCAAAAAAGTGTTTTTTTTGAGTTTATTTGATTTTTATTGGTAATTTTCTGCTTTTTTTAATATAGCATTTTAGCATTTTTAGTTTTTTAAACATAAGTTTTGGAATAGTTTTCCTTTATTCTTGTATATTTTTAGTATATGATCATTAAAAGCATCATTACATGCATAAACACCAACTTAAATTTTTAATAAAAAAATAAATTAGCTATAAGTTAGTTATATATCTAGGCATACTGTATGGGAAGGCACGAACTGGCCCACCGGGAAACCGGGAAATTTTCCGGTGCGCCTCACCAACCTTAGCATTCCCCTCCACGCCACAATATTTTTACCATATGATACAAATAAATAATAATTTTAAAACCATTTAGTGTTATCGCTTCAAGTGCAAATTCATGATCCTTCATTTTGTGACATTACAATTGAAGCATCATATATATCTGGGGCGGATCCAGAAATATTTTAGGGGGTGGGATCTCAATGATTTTTGAATCTTTTTTTAAGAACATTTTTTGACTTTTAACAAATACTCACGTGAATCTATTTTTCTCATACTATATACATTACTAAATGATAGTTATACTAGACCCAAAAGAATCTTTATTTCGTTCAAAGTTAAAATTTGATAAAATTGATATTAGGAAAAGTCTGAGTCGGGTTTCAAGACCCTTAGATTTCCCTCTCCTTAAATTCGCCCCTGTTGTATAACAACATGATATACTGTTGTATAACAAAAACTTGATAGCATACGGTTTTGACACTTCTTATTTTTGATTCCAAAATCGTGTCACCGAGTTTCTTTAAATGCAAAATTGTTGTTTTTATTTGCATTAATTTAAATAGTTTGCTTCTATATATATGTATATATATATATATATATATATATATATATATATATATATATATATATATATATATATATATATATATATATATATATATATATATATATATATATATATATATATATATAATGTTAAATAACATAATGTTTTTTATTCTTGACATGTTTCGTAAAATTTATTTACATTTTCAAAAGCAAAAAAAAATAGAAGTCTTTACAGACAGGGCCGGGTTAAGTACTTCTTGGCCTCCCGGCACTTTAGGTCTTCTGGCCCATGTTGACCGTCTAGTTTTTAAATTTAACAGCAATTTAAAATTTAAAAAATCTTTGTAACTGTTGCACTATAGCTTTATAATGTATTTTCTTTGTATTTAAACGAGCATCTTGCGTTATTTATTAATAAATATACGCAGCAATTAGTATAAGTTTTAAATCACCTTTTGTCTGCATTTTAAGCTTTATGAACAATGGAAAGATTTGAAAGACGTTCCTGAAAAAAAACTCTAAGATCAAGACATTCGTTCAATTAGTGAAAGTAGGATAAGACCAGTAGGATATCGGTCAACAAATTTTTGTGCGCTGCAAGTAGTCTCCAAGTTATCCATGCTGCGGAGATTCACAAGAAAATCAAGCAGAGAGTTCAATCCAGAATAGGTTTTTATTCTTTTATCTAGATTACTCATTAGTTTGTCCGGGATCTCATTAACGTTGGCAATTATTTAAGATTGCCCAGAAAAAAATTGTAGTTTCCAGTTAATTTCATCATTTCATTTCATTTCTTGCGTGCTCTTGGAAGTCTTTAAACTTAGACATAATTATCTGTGTTGACCAAAGAAACGGCTTTTTTTTTATAATGCTTGAAATTGGAGCGAACTTGCTGCACGTGATGCTCAAGAGAGTTATACAGTTCTTTAACCATACCTAAATCAAGAACTACGAACTGCAATTTCTAGTTAACTTTGTTGAAGCTTTCAATAATATTGTTCCGAATGACAATTAAAAGTTATTTTCAAGTTGTTCCAAGTTGTTCCATTTTGGTCAAAAGTCTGAAGGGTTTGCCATTGATTTTGCTTTCTAATAATCGTTAAGATATAGAAAATACTTGTCAATAAGCATGCACAATTACAATTAAATATATTTTTATTTGATTATCTAAAAAATTTTAATCACCTTGTAAATAGAATAAACCTTTTCAATGGCTAAACAAGCATCAGCACGAGCTGACCAATGAGTTTGTGAAGGGAACCTTAACACGTATTACAGCAAGGAATTTTGACTTTAAGAGATTGGTGTGTTGATGAAGAAAAGAAGTTATAAATTTCTCAAAAAAAGCTAAAGAAATTACCAGTCGGATTCCGTGGCACTCACTCCTACAAGGTTCAAATAATGGACAGCACATAGATTGTATTCGACAATAACGTTGATCTCTTTAATTCTTGCTTGTAAACCTTAGTAGATTCCAGACATATTACTGGCATAGTCGTAGACTGGCCACGCCAATTTTTGAATGTTGATTGCATACTAATCTAACTTTTTCAAAACGTTTTCAAGCATGGAAACTACAAAATGATAAAGCAGGGTAATGAATGCTAAAAAACGCTTAACTGGTTTTCTATTTTGTACATATCGGGAGTAGAATCAACAATGATTGAGGAATACTTCGCAAATTTTATTTCGCTAAGAAATTATGTTGCAATAAATAAAAAAAATCATTCTATAACATATTACTTAAGAATGATCATATTACCTATAAATTACATAACCTCGGCGGCTATTAAGTATATGAGTTATTTGCAAATATCTTTAGATAAATACGAGTTACAACCCTTTTCTTTGTTTTTACGAGTTATCAAGTATGGGACGAGGAAAGGATCAATTTTAATTACAGCTCAATACATTCAATAACGTTTCCATTGCGTATCGATTCTAGCTTTACGTCTGATCCACAGAATGATAATCCTCTGAGAACAAATATTAAATAAAATATCCAATTGTTTTAATTTCTTTTATCACCATTATGTTCTCAAATTTTTTTTTGAGTTTTTTTTTTCACCATTATGTTTGAACTCGAAAGTCCATTCAAGTCTTTAAAAAAATAAAACATCTAGTTTGCGATACGTTGTATGCGCTGTAATTATTTATTTTATTTATTTAACATCTTCACTTCCAACAAGGCTGCAAGCAACCATTTCCAATTGCAAAGATTAAAAGTCTCTGGGACATAAAAGGAAGTCATAAAAGGAAAGGATAGAGGCCAATAGTAATAATTTTTCTTTCAAATTATATATTTTTCACAAATTCACTTAAATGTTCTGGCCCTTTGAACTTCGTGGTTTCCCGGCACCCGTCCAGTGTGTCCATTGGTTAAATCGGCACTGTTTACAGAAAAATAATAACGGACAAAAATTATACATAATATACCAATATATTTATTACAAAATAACTCGGTAAATAACCAATCAAATAACCAACTGTCAAAACAAAACAAAAAACATTTTGGGGCATTATCCAAAATGTCAAAAGAATAACAGTTAGCCAGATTTTTGCAATTAATAGATAAATTTAAGTGTTTAAGTATATGATATTGTTTATCACTTTTAAGGTGCTCATTTAATCTAGTTGCCAAATGTCTGGAGGTTTCTCCAATATAACTGGCATTACAGTCACCGCAAAAAAAATTTATAGTTAACATAAGATTTAAGCTCTAAAGGAAGTGACTCTTTTAAGCAAAATTAATAAAACATCCTTGCAATATTTATGAACAATTTTTGAAATTTTCATTTTAGTATAATTAGGTTACATTCCAATATATGGAAGCTTAAAGTATCTTATATTAAAGCTATTAACAATATAAGAAACAGATGGGTTCATTTTCTTATTAATTTAGGATTTAATTTCAGAGTCAATAATTTTTTGTGGAAATATATTATTTTGTAGAACTAATGATAGATTCCTTATATCTTTATCAAAACCAACCCAAGAGTTATTAATTTTAAATGTACGATCAATCAAACAACAAACAAGTCCAAATTTATAGCAAGAGGGAATAAAACTAAAAAAGTTTTTGTGAAAGACCAGTATAGGTTTTTTTATGATAAACAGATTTTTTAATAAGTACATCTAAAAAGGCAATCTGGTTGTCTTGTTCTTTTTTCATAGTAAGTTTCAAATTTTTATGTTGTTTATTGAGGTGTTTGAAAAATTCTTGAACTTCATATTCAGAATTAAAAATAGCAATTACATCATCCACATACTGTTTATAAAAAAATGGTACTGTTAAGAAGCAGTTATTGACCCTTGTTTGTTCATGAAATCCGACGCTAAGATGGGCGCTAAAGGAGAACCCATAGCCATATATACCATCTCTTTGGTCATAATATTTTTTACTTTGATCAAATAAATAAACAAAGTAAAAAAATCTTAATTAACCATGATTAATAAATTAAAATTTAAAAAATATATATATATTTTCGTCGCTATGAGTAATTACAGTACCAAACAACATGAATAAAAATAAAATACGACCGGGGCAAAAAGAAAACTGTATTTGTCTTATCACAAAGACAACTACAGTCTACACTCATTAGACTCATTAACTACATATAACTACAACTATGCCAAACATCTTTCTCATTTATTGTCTTCACATATACCAAACAATTTCGCACTTTGACTCAATTTGTTTTGTTGAAAAATTAAAACAAGTTAATGTAACTAATAAATTTATCGTTTCATATGATGTTGAAAGTTTCTTCACGAATATTCCACTTAAGGAAACTATCAACATTGCAACTGTAAAATTCAAATTAACGATACTGCAGATTATTTCACACCTCTAAAAGTCCATAAAGAGAACTTCCTAGATAAACCAACTGTTAGACTTATTAATCCTGCTAAAAATGAGATTGGAAGAATTTCAAAATCTATTTTATCCAACATTAATTCCGAGCTGAGAAAGAAACTATTTTTGAACCAATGGCAAAACACTCAAAATGTTATACATTGGCTTCAAACCATAAAAGATAAGAAATTCTGTAAGTTTTTAGTCTTTGATATTAACGATTTTTACCCATCGATTAATGAAAACCTACTAAAAATGCAATAACTTTTGCAGAGCAACATCTAACAATAAATAGTGAACAAAAGAGTTCCATACGCCATGCAAGAAAATCATTATTATTTAGTAATGGAACTGATTGGATTAAGAAAAAGGGAGGAGCATTCGATGTTAATCATTGATGGCGCGAATTAGTTGAGATTTTTACTTTGCATCAAATCTCGCAGTTTTATGATAAAAGCAATTTCGAGATGATAGATTAGCTATGTTTAAAACGTGTTCAAGATACTATTGCATACTAACTATTTTTTTAATGAATGTGTGCTGACAAAAGATGACTAATCACGTTGAAAAGATGATTATTCACATTGCGTGTGATAAATAATTGAATAAATTTTCATCTATTTTGCTGTATAACACAAAATTGAAGATCTTTTTCCTTTTCAATTCATGCTTTCATCCCCCCCCCCCTAATTTTCGCGACCTTCCTACTCCATTGTATATAAACATATATAAAATTTAATTCAATATATTTTGTGGTAAATAAATTTTAACAATTGCAGTAGAACAGTAACACCTATATAAAATTTATAAAATACATTAGTAAAAATTAGTTAAAGTTTATAAAATACATTAGTAGCTTCATAGTCAGTTTTATAAAATAGTTCTAAAAAAAAACTTTCAGTCAGTCAGTTTTATAAAATACATTAGTAGCTTCATAGTCAGTTTTATAAAATAGTGAACTTTCAACCTTTATTATTAAAGGCTGAAATATTCACTCTTTTACAAAATATAAAAAAAACATATTTAACTGGTAATTATATTGTTGTTTTTATTGTTATCTGTTCTTAAAACAAACTATTGAATTGTTTGTGTAAAACAAACTATTGAATTGTTTGTGTATTGAATTGTAAAATGCTTAAACTAAGAACGGATTTTGTTATTAAAAAAAAAAAGGCGTAAAGAGGGGGTTCCAATTTTATGACATTTTTTTTTTAGGGAAAAGCAGGGGGTGGAGGTATAGAAAAACAGAACAACTGGTGATAAAGTTAGAGGGTCAAAAATTGCCTTAAAAATGGTAACGTCCTTTATGGACGGTCCCTAATGACAATATTTTAAATTAGCATATAACGCTTTAAAAGTATAAAGAGCGTAACTAGGATTTAGGGGGCGCCCCAGCAAGTAATGTTTGAGATTTATACAAACGAGTGGACTTCTTGAGTAAGGGGGTGATATTTTTATCCCTAGTAGCTATGGGTTTGAAGAGCGCATTTTTAGTAGATTCCGTTTTAACGTCATACTTGAATCAACTGCTCAGAACTGACCAATTATATCGTCAAGGGGTCGCTTTTATATTTACGAGGTCTCATGGTGAATCTATTCGCCTGAATACAGATACTTTAATTTCAAATATGAAAATATGCAATAAAAATAAATTTGAAAACAAATTTTACTAAGTGAAGGCATGAGGTCCCTTAAAAACACTGGCTTATTTTGTTGATAACAAATAAACGTCACTAAAGGTTAGGTGGGTTGAAAGAAATTTGATAAAAAGTGACAAATTGGTTGGGTGTATTGAAAATGTGTATTTTAGGTATAACGTCATTTTGCAATGACCCTAACCTCCTAGAGACACCATAAATTCTAGCTTAATGGCTCATTAGTTTTTTATTGTTAAATTAATCACTAAAGTTTAAATGCTAAGCTCGAAACAACTAATTTTGGGTATCAAGTTCAACTCGGTGATGTTCAGTTGATAACCTCCTCACTTTTGCTTTTACCTAATTTTGTTTTCCTTTGTATAAACTCTCTTAAAAAATTATACTGTAAAAATGTAATATTATAAAATTGAATTCCTTTTCTTTTGAAATATTAAACTTAGATTTAGTATTAATTAAAAAGTACTATAGCATAGATGCAGCGGCGATCTAACATTAGAAATGTAAATCAAGTAAAGAGGTATCCCCTTTTTTAATCAACAAAAGAAATAACGCAAAACTGCCTTGCTTTATAGTATAAATGCTAAAAACTAAAAAAACAAGTAATAACTGTATTCAAATTTAAAAAAAAAAGTACAATAAATAAACTGGTAGCAATTGTAAACAAACAAATATTTTACAAAATTAAATAAAATATGTTACAATTAAAACATGCAATTAATTCTTTTTATTGTTTTTATAATCCAAATGTATCATCTTTATGCGTTTCACCGACTAAATTTCCCATCGGCCTTGCTGGCAATGTTCTTTGACGCTCAATATTTCCCGCTTGAGCACGGCTGTTTAGAAACTTATCAAATTCAGATCTGCTCAATGAATCACTAACATCTTCCTCTCTTTGAGAAGCTGTTTTTGTTTTCAAGATGGCTGCACGATTAGCAGATTCCTGAGCTTTAAGTTGCGACTAACGTATAAATGAGATTTAATAAGTTGAGATTTTATAAAGTTTTTTTCTTTTACTAGAAAATATACCCAGAAAAACAAGGCTAGACTTTTAAACCAATAGGTATAGCGGAATTTATACAGTTTAACATCAATAAAAAAACAAAACTTAAGTTTAAAATCTAAAATTACCCGATCTGATTTTATTATAAAAAAAAAGTTTTTTTTCATATAACGCGCGTGTGTGAGCACGCATGCGTGTATTTAAAAAAGTAACGTCTTTTTAAAACTTGATGTCTTTATGTGTGTGTAATAATTTTTAGAAAAAGCAAATAAATATAAGTGAAATACATACAATATAAAAGTAAGGAATAAAATAAATTTTTAGGACTTTCTTAGCATGAATTTTTTAGGTAAGTTTATGACTTAGCTGAAGAGTTGAAGATTGAGCATCGTTTCAACTTGAAAAAAAGAATAGCAGAAAAAGATTTTTTTAAACAATTTTAAAACCAACACCCCAAAAAAATTTTAACAACACTCCAATCTACTTGAGGCTGTTGGTTTCAACAAACCTCAAGCAGAATGTTTTTTCTGATCTTGATTATCTAGCATCTATGATAACAGATATTCTTATGGCAATTGAGCAATCAACAACAACAACGACAAAGCAAGTAAATAAGCTATCAGAAATTCATATTAGTAATAAATGAGATATTAGCAATAAATAACACCATTCTCAATAGCATCACTCAACAGCAACTTATAAATTCTACTTATGTAATCTCCAACGCCATTTTTACTTCTACAACATATCGTTTCGAAAAAAATCATTAACTTTTAATGCAGCTACTAAATCTGCAGCTTATGCAGCTACTGATGTTTTAAATGAAAAAATATAATATTTTATTTTGTTTTAATTTCCAATAAAGGTAGTTGTAGTTACAATAATGTTTTTCAAATTAAGTAAATTAGTTCTAAATAATATTGTTTTTAAAATACTTATTTCAATCCCGTTCCTTTTCATTATTAAATAGACTAGAGGCAATTTTTTTAAAAATGTATCAAGAACTTCAAAAAAAAGCTTAAGTTATCAAGGTCCTATAATTTTGGACAGACTTAGATGACATTAAGTCTGAATTTAAAAAAGATCCATAAACCTGTAGAAATAGTCACACAAAAGTTATTTTGATATTAATCCTGCTCCTAATTATCATAACTGGAATGTCCAAATGCTAGTTAAATAATATATTAAGTGTGAGCCTAATGATTTAAACAGAAACGAACTCCTGTTTAAAATATATGTCCGGGGCTACCCTCCAATTTTTTCAGATGCCCGTTTTCTGACATTTTTTCTTTTATGTTTTGTGTTATACTAAAGTGCACTGTAACTATTTCTTTGCTTTTAATATGATAAATAGATGTTTCTACTGTCATAAAAATCATTTGGCACTGTGTTTATAGTTAGCGTTTGAGCAATATACTACTTACTCCTTAAGTGTCCGGGGCTACCCAACTTTTTTTAAAGTTTAAAGTTTTTTAAAGTATGATATATTATGTAATATAAATACATACCAAATCAGTTCCCTTTAGCCACTCCTCGACATCCTCGATCCTAAATAAGCAGAACTCAGTTAAATCATCACAAATGATTGAATAATAAAAATAAATAATTGAAAATTAAAAAGTAAACTCACTCTTCGTCAAATTCGTTTTTCTAAAAGTAAAAATTGATTAAATCATAAATACATTTATAACTTAATTATTTTCAAACTAAACTTTATAGGTATTTTAAGTGTATAATAAAATAAAGAAATAAATAAAATAAAGAAATAAAATTTGAAGCAATTTAGTTCATAGTGCGCTTTAGGAAATAGTAACATAATAAAATTTTAAGATAATAAAATTTTAAGATAATAAAATTAACATAACATAATATATATATATATATATATATATATATATATATATATATATATATATATATATATATATATATATATATATATATATATATATATATAACATAATCAATTTTTTTTTTGTAATAGACTACAACAATGTTTTTTTGTAATTAGATATCAGTGAACAAAAGTAAGTATTTAATAGACTAAATAGACATTTCAAATAGACAAAGTTGATATATACAAACAAAGTTGATATATACAAACAAGAATCTTCTGTCATAAAAAATCGTGTAAGTAATCTATTTAACTCAAATATTTATAAATGTTTAATTTTCGTTTAGTAAGACATAATCTTGAGTTAGAGAAGCTTACTTCATAGAATTACAGACTTTTGCCTAACTTATAGCTGACTTAGACCTGTAGCTAACAGAGCTACAGAAAAAAAAAAAAAAGTTTTAATAAGAAGTTTTGAATAAAGAGAAAAATTTAGCATTGAATATGGTAAAGAGGCAATATTATTATCAATAAATATTAATTCAAATTAATATTATTAGAAATAATGATAAAAATGATAAAGGAACGTTTGCTCATAACAAAATTGGTTACAATTTGGATGGCAAGCCAACAATATTATCTGTAGTTAAAAAAATATATTATAAATAAGATAAAAATAGCTTTGGAATACGTGGGAGTTATGCGGAATTGTGCAATGAAGATTATATTGAAAAAACAAAGAAGTATCGAGCATCAGGTAAACAGCATGAAAGATAATTGACATGTTTCTGAAACGACAGAACACTGCAAGGATTGCCACAGTGTATTTACTTTGATGCACCCCAACATAATAGCAATTAATTCTAACAACCATGAAAAAAAAAGAGAATCCTTCCATTAAATATGCACAAATGAATTATAAAAGGAAACACTTTCCACCACTTTTGAACAGAGACAGCGGTGTTTGAATGGCATCAAAAAAGCTCTCAGAATTTTCATCAAATACTGATAAAAATAGTGAAAAGCCTCTAGTACTGTTTACTATTTTCTATTTTATACATCTATTTTAACTAAATTAACTTTAAACATCCATTCTAATTAAATTAATTTTATACATCCATTTTAACTAAATTAATTTTCTAAATTAATCCATTTTAATTAGATTAATTTTATACATTCATTCTAATTAAACATTTACAATAATTATTGAAACTTTTCAATAATTTTTTCAAATGATCTATGCCTCTACTTTGCTATCTAAAATTTCATACTTTTTGATTAACTAATTATGTTTAACTATGTTTCAGCAAATTTATAACTTACACCGCTTTGAGGTTCCTTTCCTATTTCTGTGGGAAATGGCTGCTGAGAGACTAAAAGATTGCTTTGAATAGGTGGGTATAAACCCCTTGCAGCCAATGCGCCAGCAAGAGTTTGTTCAGTTGCAACATCATTAATATTGTCTTCATATGTAGAGCCAGCATGGCGGGATGTAGCATAAGTCTTGCTACGTGACTGTGCAAACATGTTGAACTCATCATCAACAACAGCGTCTGTGCTTGATGGAGCTGCATTAAAATCAATCAGTGATGCACTATAACAGTTTTAGTAGAAAATTTTTAATTTTTAAAGTTTTTAAATTTTAAACAAAACATTTTTAATATTAAATTAACATTTGAAACTTTACAAAACTATTATTCTTTCTTTGAATTGTTTTGAATTTGACAAAGTCTATGGAACACCATAAAACACATGGAACACCTTGGAAATATTTTTAAAAACCAGGCCAATAAAGTTGCTGCATGAAAAAACAAGTGGATATAAAACTTACATTAAAAAAATATTTAAGACGTTAGATAAAAAGAAACCTGTTATTAGAAGGTTCGAATGGTGATGTAACCTGTTTAAATTAAAACAAAACAAAACAAAAAGTATTAAGGTAATATAACTAAAGTTAAGATAAAAAAAAGTAACAAAAGCTTTGTTATATGAAACATTCACACACTATTATTAAATAACATATATTTTATTTACTAAACCTTTGGTCTTATAGAAGGTGAGTGAGCATGAGCTCCCATATTTGGTTCAACATGTGGATTTTCAGAATTTTTAATAATTTTTCTATTTTTTTCGTATCTATCATATCGAAGAAATGTATTATTTAAATCATCATTAATTCGAAGAAGAACACCTAAAAACAAAGTAAGAACACCTTGAACCTAAAAAATTTAACATTTTAAACAAAAAAAAACGAACAACCAATTAATGACGAACCAACCAAATCAACAACCAATCAAGTGACAAACTAACCAAATTATCAACCAATCAATGACAAACCAATCAAAACAAAAACTAATCTAGTGACAAAATAACCAAAGAAACACCCAATCAATGACAAACCAACCAACAAAATTAACATTAAAAAAATACCAGTCACTTCTTCATTTGTAATTGAATTGACCAAAATAAGAATTCTTTTTTGCATTTCTCTGCAAGTCTTATTAAGTTCCTATAAAAGTAATTTAATAAGAAATTAATAAAAAAAATATCATTTATTATTTTGTGTCACAATAAACATTATACTCCCTATACAAATATTACTTATAACAATGTAACATCAAAAATTTAAGGAAGAAAAAAAAATATATATATATATATAAAAAACAACTTTTTCTATGGTATTTTCTATACAACAATTATCAGCCATTATATAAAAAAACAAAAAAATCTGCTGTTACATTACATCTGGTGAATACATTACATATGGTGAAGTGAGTTTTTCACCTTTCTAAAATACAAAATGGTAGTAACCAAAGTAAAAAACAAAAAATTAGCTAATCACCGGTGACAAAAAAAAAGAAAAAAAGAAAAGAGGAATTTATTCTTGTGCCTGCATTTTGAAATCAACTTATTTTTTTTATTTAACAAGTTTTCACATCAAAATTTTCACTTATATGTCAAAATGAGAGATTTTTTTAAGCAAAGATTGCTAATTTTTGACAAAGATTTGTATGGATTGCAACATTTCATAATTTTCCACTTAATTGAGAATGTAAATTTTTTAAATTTTATATCCCAAATTTCTTGAGACAATTCAGTATCATTTCTGTATTTATTAATTTATTAACTAAAAGATTTTAGGTGATCAGCATATCAAGATTTAAATGAATTTACACAAAAGCTAAAATATACTAATTCTTAGTAATCCAGTTTATTTGACGACGCAGTGGCTTGATAAATTATATTCTTCATTAAGCACTGAATGTTCATGGGGCAAATGAATTTGTTGACACAGTTGCACATTTTGTACCAATTTTTATAACCAAGGTGCAAGGTGTTTGACAATGTTTGACATACTCTACTATTGTCATACTATAGCTTATTTTAATTGTATTTTGTTTAATTATCCTGCAAAGTTTGTGGATATCACATATTGTTGTGTAATAACTAATAAAATCCTAGATGTTATAACTAAGTTGTAATGACTAAGTGCAGAAATTACAGATAAAACCTCAGGATACGCTCACCTCCACCAGGCATTGCAATTGTAACACATAATCCAGTTGTCCATGGGCAGATCATGAAACTTTTCATCGCAACTCAATACAACAACACTCTTTTAAAATTAATATTTAGTTTATTAACTATTAAAATTTTAAAAAATAATTAAAAACAAAAATCACAAACAAAACCCCAGGACATGCTTTCACCAATTGTACACTTTTGTGCACCCAGGTTTGGCATTTATGTCATATGTCTTCTGTGGGTAGATCCTTATACTTTAGTTCGCAAATTAAACAAAAAAGTTCTGTATCACCTCTGGCTCTCTTTTTTTCTTTACATGATGGTACATAATCAGCCTCTAATAGATTAAAGCTCTTCTTTCTCCGGAAAGTGCAGTACCTATTTGTGTTGCAACTGAAAAGTTCTGAAAAGTGGGTTGTACCAGATAATGCTTCATTTTTGATTTTCAAATGGGTTCGGTTTATTTAAACAAAAAATCGAAAAAATAATTAGGTTCGTTATATTTTTTATTCATGTGTATATATTATCTTGTTCTTTCTTTATTTTATTTAAAATTTTCTTTTTTTTTTTTAGTTTTTTGTTTTGTTTTTGATTTTGTATTGTAACTCAATTTAACTCAATTTTTTGCAACCAACCATTATCGCAATAAATTAGATACTTCCTATATTTATGAACGGTAATGTACTTGATGAATCATCTACCCTTCATCTTCTAGGTTAACTCTTACTTCCGATCTCTCTTGGAAACTATATATCAAACCCATTGCAAAATTAGCACCTGCTAAGGTTGGGACTTTATTACTCCGGATTTTATTCTCTATCTCTATAAATCTCAAATCCAGCCTTGAATGGAATACTGTTGCCACATCTGGGGTGGATCTTCTAATGATGCCCTTTCTCCTTAAGACAAGGTGCAAAAATGCATTGTAAGCATAGTTGGACCTGCTCTTGCAGCCAACCTCCACTCATTATTACATTGTCGTAATTTTGTTTTTTTTTCTCTTTTCTACAAATACTATAATGGGCACTGCTCTAAAGAGCTAGAGTCTCTTGTGCCATCTACTAAAAGTCATTCTCGTGTTACTCGTCATTCAATAAAGTCTCATCCTTTTTCTCTGACTGTTTTTAAATGCTCCAAAAACTCTTATTCTCTAGCTTTTTTCCTCGAACATCCAATAACTTCCCACTCTAATAGTGGTTGCTTGCAGCCTTGTTGGAAGCGAAGATGTTGAGATATTTTTTAAATTAATTTTTGGTTTAGAGTAAATGCCTAATTATGATAAATTATGATAATATGTCTTAATTATGATAAACTTTTAATAACTGTTTTGATAATTATTAAAACTGTTGCCAAAATTACAATAGAAAACACTTTAAGTTGTAAAAACTTTGCATCACAAAGCTATGTTTGTAAACAGATAAATTTACTACATTCAAGTTACATTAGATCAGATGACAAATCCACTGTTTGGAAATTCAGATTAAATTGTTAATTACTATGGATTGCCATTTTTATTGACCTTATTTATTCATAATTATTTTTTATGCTTAAAACTGTGTTTATTGTTTTTTATTAGTTTTATTACTTTTTGTTAGAAATTATTTTGAATAATTAAATTGGATGGTTACAAATATGCAACTTTTTTTCCACTGAATAAGACCACTTAACGTTTGTAAAGCATCACATTCAACATTTGATGATGTTCTTAAAATCTAGTGTAAAGCCTGCATGCATGTCTGGACAATTGAAATGTTGTTTAACTACAATAGCGTATTAAAAATTGTTTTTTTGTCCAAATTTTTATTTCACTACTGAAATTATATTTTAATTTTATTTAATAGTTTAATAGTTATTATTAATTTTTATTGCAATATATAGTTTGTATTTCACCTAATTTTATGTAAAAAGATAAAAATTTTAAATCCCTATTGTTTCATACTTTTGTTCAACTTATTTGCTTCATTATCTTCATACATTTGTAAATGTTCAACTTAAACTTATTAATGTTCAACTTATTTGCTTCATTATCTTCATACTTTTGTAAATGTTCAACTTAAACTTATTAATGTTCAACTTATTTGCTTCATTATCTTCAAAGTTATTTTCTACAAAACCTTTTATGAATAAGTATAAACTATTAGCATTTTCGAAAGCAACATCTTATGGAGATTTCAGAACAAATTCATATTTTTAATTAAATGTTTTTTTTTTTAATTATATGCTTTACTTTTTATTGATAATTAATTTTGGTAGATATGCATTTTATTATATTTGCATTTTGTGGTAAAATGTTACTTTTGTACACTGCATTATTTAAAAATTAATATATAAAGAATTAAAAAATTTATATCACTTCAACAAAGTCATAGTAGATATTCAACCGACACATTCTTTTTAAGTGTTCGAAACGTAATTTGCTACTTTTCTATATTGGTTCAGGAAGGACAATTGAGACAGTATCAATAATTTTTTTAAATAAAAATAATTTTTAAAGAAAAATATCAAGTTTCTTTGAATAACTTTAATTTCGCTGTTTAATGAACAGTGGACAAAGGCATTATGAAAAATAAAAACTTTTTTTATTTAACAACAGTAATTGGTTAGATTCTGAATATATTGCCTTTTTACCAAAATCGAAATATCCAATAGCAGACCCCACCATCTATATCATTTGAAAAACGCAGAAGACAGTGCATGTCTTATGGAAATTTGTCATAGCCCAGTAAAAACTAAAGTATTCCACATTACTTAAAGAAAATGGATTCCACCACATTTTTAATGCATATCTTTAAGGCATTACGTTCAATAGAAGGAGCAGAAGCAAAATTGAAGAAGCATTAAAAATTATGAACACACGTGCAAAAATTATGGAACTGCAAGATTTATATGATCACACTGTAGATAGAATTTTGACCATAGATTCCAGATACAATATTAAATTTTATAACTTAATTTTTATAGTAAATGGGGTTGTGATGGTTCCTCTGACCAAAGTAAATTTAAGCAGAAACTTCCAGATGAATCTGAATTTATTTCTAATGCAAATATGTTTATTAATTTTTTGGTAACAATTAGATTAGCTGATGAGGTAATTGGTGCAGTTGTTTGGCAATATCGAGCTCTTTTGCTTGTTTGTTTTTGTCTAACTACATGCATAGAGTTTTGCAAAGAGACTCCTGAGAAAACTAACGCTGTTATAATAAGCCAAATATAGTTTTCGCGGCCATCTATTATTAACAAAAGTTGTAAAGGAATACAAGTGAAACATCAACTTTTTTTAACAATGATTGATAGAAAAGTGGCTTAAGTATTAACAAAAATGCCTGCACCTACATGTACAATTTTGGACTCCATGACATATGAACAATTTGACTGCTAGGCCTGAAAACAAAAATTCCTATCAATGCGGACTGCCGACATTTCATGCCTGGATTCTGTATATGGAAATGATATTATATATTTCCTAAAGATGTAGAAAAAAAGAGAAGATTTTGATACAGAAACACTATTGCAAGGAGCTAGGGTTAATCATCGACAAACTAAAACAAGTATGTGGTAATTAAAATGATGGTAATAATTGTAGGAGATTTTTTTACAATTCAAGCTGCTTTTCTGAAATCACTGGAGTAAATGAAAATTTAATTAAGCAACTTTAATTAATTCTACAAGCTCTCTCCTTGAGTATTATGATAAATGCTGCAAGTTTTGGTACATATGCTACAGAAACTGCCCACATTTATGTGAGTAATTATGGGTGGTACTACATGTCGTCTTCTGTACACAATATTTTACTTCATGGAGAAATTATCTTAAAGCATTTTGCAGTATTTCCTATCGTTTTTTTTTTTGTTTTGGATTCTTGAGCATCACTTTCAGAAGATGCACAAGAACCCTGTAATAAGGATTGTAAAAAGTTTTGCATTCATTATACTAGGAAATGTTCTAGATTAGCTGTAAATGAGAATGTATTCCATACTCTTCTTT